TCTTCTTCCTTCACCTCCTCCCCCCTCCTCTTCCTTCATCTTATCTTTTCATTTTAATAATTTCTTGGTAATTTATTCACATACCCAAGTATATTAAAACATTACTTTCCTATTTAAAAAATTGATTCAGGGTTGTTTTTTTCTTAATTTATCATCTTATAAATATATCCTAAAACCATCAGTCTCTTTAACCCTTAAATGTTGGTTTACATGGCTTTCAATGCAGCTTTACAGTTTTCTGATTCAGCCCATGCCTTCTAGCATCATATCACACAAACCAATGAGGGCCTCTAACATGAATAAATTAAAGAAGAGAAATAAAAAATATATTTTTTTAAATGTAAAAATATAATAATCAGTATAATTAGCAACAAAAGATATTTCTTACCTTTGTAGTTGGGGACGAGGCCACCCTGAAGAGTACACTGAAGCCATTGCTTTGGCAGAAGATAAATTTGATCCTGACTCTCAAGAGGGAAAGAAACCTCGTGCAGGCCAGATATTATGGATACGTGGCCTTACGAGACTACAAACACAGGTAAGTGATGGTTATCAACCCTGTTTCTACATTAGTTGTAAGTACCTTTTTGGTCGTTGGAATTATTGGACTGCTGGGAGTTTTATTACAAATGACAGCTCCAGTTAAGAATGTATTCATGTTAGTTGTTTTGACACTGAACTTTTTTTATTAAAAAAGTGTCATATGTCAAAACCTCTATTTGCTCATTAAAATAAATTGTATGTTAAAAAAATGCTCGAACATGTTCAGCTTTTATTACAATTATTATTATTATTATTATTATTATTATTATTATTATTATTTCTTTACTGCATCATGGTGGATTTTGTGCATATATTTTTATTTGTCAAAAAGACTCCATTCTCAAATTTAAAATAATAAAATAAAAGCATTGTGTAGTACAAAAATTACATGAATGCATTTTTTCACTCTTTAAGTTATTAGGTAAGTTGAACTGTTTGAATTTGTTTGTATAAAATGTTCATAAAACAGTGATGTTTTTAACTGGAGTGTTGAACAACAGTTTCAAAGTGTTTGTGATCCTGTGTGATTGCTACAGTTACCTAAATTTTGTTTTTTGTGTATACCTCTGATGTACATTCTTTTCACTAAAATGAATTTTATATTGGGTTGGTTTTTAATGTGAGTTGATTCTTGTTACATTAATAATCTTTCAAAAGATTTTTCTTTTGAAAGTTGATGTTGCAGAAATACTGCCTACTTACGTTTATGTGGACAGCAAAGTCATTTCCTCTCCTTTTTCTGTCTTCGCTGTTGCAATTCTGAATCTGTATCTTTATTACAGATTTTCTGTTCTGCAAATATTGAATTATTTTTAATGAGCAATAACAAAATGTACTGTATAATAGTTTCCTGCCATTTTTAACATTTTATGTGCTTGATTTGTTTAAGTTGTGTTGCTTCTTTGTTGGGATATGGTTCAGTTATTGTAACTTTTATTTGTGTGTGCTTTTACTTTCTTGACAATAACATTGTTCTTATTTCAAATAGTTTCTCATTTCCTGTTAGCTTGTAACATGTCTAAAGGTCTGTGGATATCCAAGAACAAGCTGTAGAAATCATGCTGCTCCGGGTGATGGTTGAAATAATTGCACTTCTTTACAGGAATACTTGTCTGGAACTTGAAGTTAAATTTTTGCTAGCTAGCAAGCTGAATATTTTTGGATTATTTTAAAGTACCAATTATTAGTGTTGCCCTCCTAATAGTCTAAAAAATATTAGTTAAGTGGGGTGTAGTATTGGATTCAGAATGTCATGCATGCTTTTCATAATTAATGTGTATTAATGTTTACGTAATAAACTTTCTCCATGTAATTATGAAATGGATTTATTCAAAATGGTACATGATGATATGTTGTAATTCAAAATCATGCATGAACGTTTATCAAAATCATGGACTTGTTGACGTAACACACAAATATTATGATTATAGGAAAAGGTGCAAATTACCTTCTTACTTTAGTAAATCTTCCATCTTTATGAATGATATTCTACATTAAAATGCTTGTGAAAAAAAAAAATACTCAATGGAAAATGAATCGATCTTTTTTTTTTTGATTATCAAGAATTTTTATATTTGGATAAATGTCACATGTAGCCATGTTTCTCAAATGTCACTAAATGGATAATAAACGTATTTTGCTGAATGAGTATGTATGAATTTGGACTTACACCATATTTCCTGAAAACAATTGTAAAACTTGTTTGCTATTCTGCCCTTTATTTGAAATTTTTGTTGAAATGCTCCACACTATGGGGAGTTTTTTTCTGCTGAGGGAGCAGTAAAAAGACACACCAATGCCCTCATCAACGTCATTAGAATTGTTGTTGTTAACGATTTGCTTTTATTGCTCAAGAGCCTATTGCTCGCATTAATGCCTTTTTGACTGGCCTGCATGTTACACAGCTGATTTAGGCAGCTTGCTAGCTAGCCGTTTTATAGCTTCATTGTCACTTACTATGTGCTTACTCATCTTATTTTATTTTGCAGGAATTTTCCATTTATATACATCATTGCTCACTTGACAATATTTTGTTACTTCAAATTGGCTTTTAATAAAAAATAAATTATATTAAAAAATTTGTATTGTTATCTGATCAATATATTTATCACTAGAAACAATATTAAATAATATTACAATTTCATTTGTTTCTGTGGTATTACAAATATTCTCCACACTCACAGCAAATTTTCATTGATATAATAATGACTTAATTTCAAAGATAATTTTGCATCTGATCTTCTTTAGATAACTGAGGATTATTTAACCTCTTAGTGAGTGGAGAAAGATCACTTTAATTTAGTTGTACATTTATATTATGCAATACAAAATTTCTGAATTCTTTCATGGTTTGTCATAGATAGAAAATGAGCCATAGTAACTATGGCAATTATTTCTAAAGCTACTCTCAAATAGAATTATTATATTTATTATGTACAAATGATACTCAATTGTGGATGATGATGATTACTTCTACTACAAAGACTATAACACATGAACTCAACTTCTACAGCTGTTATTGTGACAAATATTTCTACTTTAAATCTTACTACTCAACTGACTACTGAATAATGACAACCTCAACTACTGTTGCGACAGCTGTATACTGCTATAACTATTACTGTGAAGACAATAATGACTACTACAGCTTTTACAAAGGCAATTTTATTGTCATGTACTGCTTTTGTAATTGTAATTCTGGTGCTTGTATGATGACAACAATAATGGCATCTACAACTATTTCTCAGTCTCAAAATATGGCTAGATGGCTACTGCAGCTAATTACTATTACCATTTCTAGAAAGTCTTGGTTTTTTAGTTGTGCTTATCCACTTCAATACATCTGGAGAACCACTGGTTTGCATGGCTACACTTGCACTCTTTGCACAGCCATGAGAGCATTGTACTTTCCCTTCAAGTGGTGCTGGGTGAAGTGGTGAAAATATTTCCTTCATTGTTTCTTGTAGTGTTCTCTTAATAGCCTAAGTTTCTTTCAGGTACTTAGTTATTTCTTTTTTCCCCCTTTAAAAAAAAGTGATAAAAAAGAAAAAGAATTGGTGTTCCATAAAGTGGTCTGACATTCACAGCCACTGTGAGAAACTGAAAGTTACTTTGACAGATTCCACAATGCTCAAGCATTTTTGATTGTGCAAGCAGCTAACCAACAATGCAAGCAAGCAACCAACCAATCGGCCAACCAAAAGCTGACCATCCACGTAGCTGTCAAATATTGTTGGTAACAAGCATGGGGATTTATGTGACATTTTGCGTTCTAGGTTGGATGAAGTAGGATAGAAACTATGATTTAAGTGATTTGTATATTACAAATGATGGTATGATTTGTGGACATTTCTGGTATGTACAGCATTTTGTAGTATAAATTGACAGGCATGCACATTGATTTCCTTTATGAAACAAGTCTATTTTAGATAATGATTTTTGTTTGTTATTCGTGTTGCATTCAAACGGATGCACTGTATGTTTCTATGCTGTAAACTGAAGATTTTTTTTTTTTTTATACCAATGTACAGTTTGCACATTGACTGAGGGACATTCTTCTTCTGCACTGGAGCTTCAATTTCAGAATATTAGCTGTAATGTGTATACTACTGTCTGTTCATTGTTTGTAATTTCATAAATGAACATCTAAATTGTTCGCTAAAGTCAGTGGAGAGCAGTTGAAGGGCTCCCTCTCTTAAGCACTTTTATAACGGACCACACGTAATGTAAATGCTTGCACTAGGCATAGCTTTGCTGCATGTAGGATATTAATTTTAGTCTGTCCATAAATGATTACGTACTCTAGTTTGGGCAGCAAGATGTGCAAATATGAGAATGCCCTATGTCCTTGGCTGTTATAGCAGACTGTCCAATTGAACTGTCGGTTAATAACTGGTGTAAAATTTTGTAATATTCCAGTCTTACCAAGGACACGATGGACCAAGTTGATCTTCCTTGGGGTTTGGATCAATAGCACAGTTAAATTTCATGCAAAGTCAAAACATACACTTTAATCTGTTTGTATGCTGTGCCAAGCAGGTGGCAGAAGCAGCCTTTGAATCTCCCGAGGCTGGGGACGGCGTGGCTGTTCTAGTTCTGAGCAATCCGTGTTGCAAGCGAACCGAACCCTCCAGGGTTTGGGGGCCCGTCACGACGGGAAGAGAAACTATGGTCTAGGGACAGGGACATTACAAGTAAACAAGTGAGGTAGCTTGTAGATGACTGCTTGCAATTGCTTGCAAATAGCTCTGCTGACGGAACCATCAGTAGTTGCCAGTCGTGTTGTTGCTGTGTATGGATAGTATAGACACTAGACACTAGAACCGTATATATTTGGAGGTGTAGCTTATACAGTGCTACCATTAACTTGTCGTTAGAATAGTTACCATGTCACTCACAATCCCCAAGTGTGATGTTACCTCATGTAAAGTTAACATGTATTATGCTTTCAGTATTGCCCAGCTTGAACGAATGCACATTGTCTTGTCTTGTCGCCACTGTTGACCACTTTATGGACACCTTTGTCTTGGAGGAAACAATTGTCCCACACAGAGCGTATCTCGTTGCCTCCTCACAAAGTTATGTAAATGCAATAAAATGATTGTTGCAGTGCTGGAGTCTAGATGTTGTTGGCAGTCCTGTTTATGAGTGCTTGGAAATATTAGGTTTAGGTTGGGATGTATTGATTTTTTATGTATGTCTGCATATATATTTTTTTTACTTTTATATTTGTTTTTATTTTTATTTTTAATGTTACTTGATTTGTAAAAATATTTTTATAATTGTTCATGATGTGTGCTATTCGTAAGCAATTACAGAATCTAGATATTTTCAAAGAAGTAGTCAAATTGCTTCTTCCATAATGACATGACCATTTTTAAAAGATTTATCAAAGTGACATGACATGTCTCAATTCCAACTTAAAAAACAGCAGTGTAAACTTTAACAAAATAATCTAATTACATGATCGAACCAGTCTGTAGCAGTAATTTCAGAATGTTGCTGCCAACCACTTATACTCATGCTGAAGATGGCCAGTGAGGGGCTATGGAGAAGTGCATGGGGAGTGGGCATGAGCAGTTGGTTTGGGACTGGGGATTCTGGGATGTAGGCTAAGGTTTGTGTAGGTTATGTAGGCTGGGACAGAGGTTAAAAGGCAGTGCATGTTACTGCTGCAGACTGGGATGGGTTGCACTATTACTCGCACTTACACTCTTGGCATGAGCTGAGAGAGTGGACTGACTGTTCCAGACTTCCAATTTCTTGTAACAAATTTAACATGGACAAATGGCTTCTTGCACAGAGCTTTCTCTTTAGTCTCTGTCCTTCCATGCTCGCTCTTTTTTTTTCTCTCTCTTTCTCTCTAAAACACTCTTAATACATATATCTGTACACCTACACATCATAGAGAACTTGAATACTTGTATATCTATTATATTGTCAGTCTGACGCAAGTGGTTTTGTATTCTGCTTCTTCTTTGTCTGTCGGTCCCTTTTACGCCCAAGTCCTGGTGATGGCGTGTTAACTACTGAACTGGCTGTTTTATGTGGGTCCTGGCTTTAAGATTAGTACACCCTTTCAGTGTAATGTGTACTGCAACAAGATTTTCAGTGCATCTCTTTGGGGAATATAATGCTTAGGTTGAGGTTCAACAGACTGCTTGTATCAAAGGATTATTGTGGGAATATAAAATGATATAAAATACTGTTAATATTAAACTGTGGGCAAGCAACCACCCCTTTGGGCCTCTTCCCAGAGCTACTGTGAATGTAGTGGCTGCCATAATGGGTGTGCTTAGCAATGATAAGTGATCATGATGGATGTGTTGACATAATTAAAATCATTAGAGCTTTTTTTTTTTTGGCATTTGAAACGTGTTTGTGGCAGTTTCATGTGCGTGGTTGTCACTTCTTTAATCCCTGCCTCACCCCCTGAAATATGTGTCAGTGTACAGTATGTATAATCTACTAAGTTGTTTCTAACAATGGTTGTTTGTTATATTTTGATATAATTTGCTCTTGGGTGTGAAATTATTAAGCTATTAAGGTGTGCTTTTAATGGAAATAACTGTGCTGGAACTGAAGGGGTGTGTGGTTTGTGGGTTTGCACTGGCTTGGGATGTGCCTGCATGCACTGGAATGAGTGGAGCTCCTCCTCTTCCTAAGGTTTCGGTTAACTTCGTCCTAACAGTCCTGATCTGACTTGCTTTGCACATTCCTTTCTAACCTGCTGTTGAATTTCATTTCACTATGACAAATTGATTTATTATGCACGACTCCCACTGATCCTTACTTCGCCATAACCCTGATTGGCCATATCTGAAAAATATTTGGAATATATGTGGTGTTCATTGATGTTGTTGTTGTTGATGTTGTTGTTCATTGTTGAATAATGAATGAAATGGTGGCTAAGGGCATGTGAAAGTACTTACTGGAATTTTAGAATGAATATACTAAGTTTTTGCGATAAGTTCATTAGTTATTTGGAATCATGCAATTGCCATTCATACAAACTGTTGTGCAAGGCTGGTTATAATGTTGATTATATTTCATGGCCTATTAATATGCTTTGAACATCAATGAACTACCTTTGCTGACACCAGTCAGAAGTTAACATTGTTATTACTAGCTGTTTGTGGCAAGAAAGTATAAACCAAGTTTCAGCACCCTATTTTGTGGTGTGCTGGTTGGGTGCAACTGCTGGTCTTGTCTGGTTTGGTCTGGTCTGGTGTGGCAGTGTAACTCCATGTAATTAAACTTTTCTTAAGAAGGAAAGAAATTATGGCAGACCTTTTTGTGTGTGGGTAGAGCCCTCCCCCCCTCATGACTGTCCTTCCCTATGTTTGCAGCTGCGAGTTATCAGGGCTTTCAAGTCTACACTGGAAGACCTGGAGGAGCGCCGCTCTGTACATAGTTTACACAGCTTACACAGTTTGCGCAGCTCGCGAAGCCACACTGGCCCGCGCCCCCTGTCCGACATCAGTTACATTGACGAGGACCCTGTCAAAACGCCATCGCCTCTGAACGACCGCGACAAAACCAATAATTCCTCGATGCTTCCGAAGATGGTATCTCCTGCCGAGGACCCCCACCTGGTGCCGGCGGCAACAGGCAACGACAGGGGAAGCGCACAGAGTACTGATCCAACGAGCGGTCGCTTGGCACTGCCCCTCCCGGCTAACCCTGCCAACCCTCCTTCCCCTCAGCAGCACTCGCTTCAAGCTCCTTCTGCGCACGCAAAAAATAACAATCCCCAGAGAATATCAAGCCATCAACCTTTGAGTCCTGCCCACCTGCAGAATCTATCACCACAAACATTGAATAGCACTGGAGAACAGGAAAGCACCCAGCCACAAACCCAGGTCCCAGACTTGCCCAAGCTGGTACACGAGACTAGCATCTAATGTCTGATCAAACAAAAGTAGGTGCTCGCATAAATATCGTGCATTATTTCCTTGTCTCTTATCTCTCACACTGTTTTTATTTGCTTGTTGTTGGAGCTTGCAGAGTCCCTTCGCGATCGGGTAGTGGCAAGATATGCAGGTTTGTGGTGATGATGCTGTAGTTCCCTGACAAAACGTTTTATATATATTTATACATACAAATATTTTTCATGTTTTACTACTTAAAATTGCTAACTTGAAGAGGGGAGGGGGATGAATATCACAGCACTGCATGTCTTGTGCCTGTGGTAGACTAGCTGCTTGCCCTGTTATTTGTCCACTTCCATGTTGGGGATGATCACATTGAACTTGGGAACAATGTGAATGGGGGCATGAGTGTTTTTTATTGTGATAAAGAGAAAGATTTCCCAGATCATAAGGCAGCAAAGTTGGGTGGGTGGAGAAGGAAAAGTAGCACTGGGAAAGGAATAAAAAGGTAACCTGAGTGTATAGGAGAGAAGAGGAGAAGACTACAACAGTGGGATGGAAGGACTTGGGAGAAATGAAAAGAGGAAAGAAAAAAAAGAAAAGAAAAGAAATGGGAAGGGATGGGTGGTATGGGATGGGTGTGCCGCAACAGACTGTCCCTTTTTGCTCTCCCCTTATTCTGTTCACTTAGTGAGTGTTGTATTGTGAATGGATGTCATCTGTGAGAGCTTGCCATACTTTTCCCCCTTTCTACCTTGCATCTCATTGCCCAACAATCAAAGTAACTAAGTGTGAGTAGTCTCTGTTTAACATCCAACCTGGGTAAACACATACATCTTCTTCTTTCAACTTTTCACACAAATACAATAATTTGTCTATATATACATGATTGTTTTCAATTATTTTTTATTAGCATCACTTTTTCTATGTAGCTAAAAAGTGTTTGTTTATGACAAAAATCACTTGTTTCATCATCTTTGTTTTAATGCCTCTTTTTTCAATTCCAGCTATTAAATTCTGTACGATGAGTTCTAGGGATTGAGCATTTAGTCATGATCTGTGCTCGTCCGTTCTTGGTCGAGTCGACTCGAACAAGAGGTGGCGCACGATGTGGTTGTTTCACTGCTTGGCATGGGTTCTTTACAATCAGTCTCTCTTATTGAAGGTATTAGCACACTGTTTCCACTGTTTCCATCCTACAAGATAATAATGTAGACATCTATCAAGCACCTTGTTACTATTAGTTCCTTCAGTCTTCCTAACCCAAATTCCTAGTTCCATGAAAAGTTTCAGTTAGAAACATTTGGTACTGTTTTCTGACCAATGTTACCCTTTACTCTTGAAGGTGATAGGTGGTGAGTTGCAAGAACGTTTGATTCCGGTCCCCTACAGCAAGAGCTCCACTGACCAAGCTGTAAGCCGCTTTCCTACTTTCTTTCTTGTCCGCTTGCATTACTTATGAACCCAGTGGAGCCCACAAGATGACAGATATATCCATTCCAATCACCCCATTCTGTAGCTCTTATTTTTTCTTAAGTGCAACACATTTCTATGTATATCTCTCTCTTCTCTCTTTTCTTCTCTCTCTCTTTTTCTTTCTCTCTCTCTCTCTCTCTCTCTCTCTCTCTCTCTCTCTCTCTCTCTCTTTTTCTTTCTTTCTCTCTCTCTTTTCTTTCTTTCTTTCTCTCTCTCTTTTCTTTCTTTCTTTCTCTCTCTTTTCTTTCTTTCTCTCTCTCTCTCTCCTTTCTTTCTTTCTCTCTCTCTCTCTCTTTTCTTTCTTTCTTTCTTTCTTTCTCTCTCTCTCTTTTCTTTCTTTCTTTCTTTCTCTCTCTCTCTCTCTTTTCTTTCTTTCTCTCTTTCTCTCTCTCTCTCTTTTCTTTCTTTCTCTCTTTCTCTCTTTTCTTTCTTTCTCTCTTTCTCTCTCTCTCTTTCTCTATCTCTCTTTCTCTATCTCTCTTTCTTTCTCTCTCTCTCTTTCTCTCTCTCTCTTTCTCTCTCTCTCTTTCTCTCTCTCTCTCTCTCTCTCTCTCTCTCTTTCTTTCTTTTCTGCCTGCTTGCCTGCCTGAATTTCCCCCTGGCACGAATATGTCAACTGTTGCCCAGTGCATGATATTCCCCGTTTCATTGCTGCACTGGCCTCCTGCTCCTTTTGTTATTATTGACACCCTCCAGTGTAGTTGCTGGTACTGGGAACCATCATCCTGTGGGCTTCACCAAGGGTCTCTATGCCGCTGTGTGAAATATGCTTTCAGTGTCTTGTACCTCTGTATAACAAGGTCCTGTAGGTTACCTGTGTCTTTTGAACCCCTTTATTTCCATCCCATCTGATGATTGATGTAGTCTTAATGTCATTCTAAATAGGATTATTTCCAATACTTTTCAGGTAGGTGATCATTGATGATGCATGTACTTTTGTTTGTATTAGCACCACTTAAATCTTTTTCTTGTATCTTGGATGGGCACATACTTATTTTCTAGCCACTGTTTCTTCCCTCCCGGCTAGTGCTTGCTTTGTGTTTTAGCAATGAATCCCAAGACTACTCCTGCCCTTCCTGTGCCACGACTTCAAAAGTGTGTTCCTAGCCCTCGTCCTTGGTCCCAGTCAATGTTGCAGGTACCCCCATCCCATGCTGCATGCGGAAGCAAGCAAGCAAGCGAGTACCTCTTGAAGGTACATCAGCTCTCATTTCAATAAGCAAATAAGTTGAGTTGAGACTAATTATGCATGGTTTTTTGAACAACTTCAAAGGATTCTGCTTTTACATTCAAGAGTATGAAATGTCAGCCAAACAAGGTGCGTGATTTATTTTAATTTTTTTTAAACATTGTTACTGTTATGTTTCCCATTCGTTTCTTTAATTAATTTTTGGTTGAGTTACATACAACAGTTGCTTGTATAATGTTGTTTGTTGAAACTTAAAATGTATTTTTGATATGACTTGTTGGAAACTCAGGCGTGCAGTGCTGCTTTTCGCCCACAAGCCCAAAATGTTTCACTTTTTATTTCTCTGGAGGATTTAAGACGTTTTGAAAAGCTTGTGCAGAAGTGTTGACTGATTTCAGTGTTATTGATAATAAAATTCTCACTCTTTGTTTTTGGGGGTGTATTATAAAGTGCACATGAGTATGTATATAATATACATATATTTATATATATATATATCTATATAATGTGTATATTTTTCCGTATACACACCACCTAGGATTTGAGTATTGGCTTGCAACTTGTGTTTCTCAGAAGACCAGCAAGGCAGAATGGCGATCACTTTACTTATTATTTTTGTGTGGCATGCATCAGTCACGTAAACAAATTGTTTGTTAAGCATGGTGGTTTGATTTGAGTATTTTATAATTTTGTTCACTGATTATGTTTTGGTATGTGGATGTGCACTTTTCTTTTCAACAAAAGTATCCGTTTGCTTTTTGCATGTTAGTGTCAGTTTTTGTTACATATATTGTAATATTAATTATTATACTACAAATGCCAATACCACCATTGCTATTGTTGTCACTATCATTATTATTATTATTTTTATTATTATCATTATCATTCTTATCATCATCATTTTTATTATTGCTGCTAACTATCATTATTACTATTTATTATGATTATTATCATTATCATTTCCATCTTCATCATTAATAGTATAATTTGGTGTTGGTTATTAATTTTCAAAAAATTGAAGAATATGGCCACAATTATAAGTTCATTATTGAATAAAGATTACATAAACAGGAGTTAGTTGTACACTGTTTATTTCATTACTATTTGTATTATTATGATTGATTATGATTATTATAGTTAAAATTCCTTTATTCCTTTTAATTATTTTAATTTTATAAGTTTTTCCTTTCAATGTTTTCATCTGCTTGCTGCCATTCACTGCCAAGTTGATGTAACACAGCTTCTGCAGTTAGAGTAAGAGATTAGAGAGCTTCATAAGTGATGCCTGGGGTTTCTCATCAGAGATATGACCATCCAATTCATTGTGGCTGTGTGGTCCACTTGCTATGTGGCATTGAATTAATTGCTGTAGTCAGTTTGCCATACATTAAATTCTAATACATTCATAAAAGTTCTGCATCATCTTGTCAGCATTGTGGTTTTTGTGAGATTGCAAGATGAGCAGTTACTTTGAACTGGACACCAAGTTGCCTGCCAGTAGGTGATTAAAGTATTAAAATTTGAGATTTCAAGTTAAAATCGTAGTATTGATAGTTATTATTTTTATTTGTATGTTACCACTCCAATTGATATATATTTTCATATTTTTAGACCAGTGAAAATAAACTGGATAACAAATACTGAGTTAACTTCATTTTTAATAACCAATAAATATGCCAAATGACCAACTAGTCAACTGTAAGGGATACATTTTTGGAAATTTACATTAAAACTAACAAGACATAAGTTGCCTTCAGGATAATGCAGCTGACATATTTCTTCTAATACCAAAATCTTTAAAATTTACAATTCCCTGTTTTATTGCTTTTTTTAAAAAATCTTGGTTCGAGATAATAAAAACTGTGTCCTTGTTGTTGGCTGCTTGGGAGTCTCATTGAATTGCAAAATAATACCTTCCTATAGATGGCATTTACATGCAATTACATGTACCTGTAGGCTGTTGACTTATATCTATGTTAAAAGAAAAAGGTGCTTCATGTTATGAGAAAGATTAATTAATAATCTAATTTCTGAATGAATATTGAGAAATGCAAATAGACCTTTTGTTATTTATGTGAAATGGACACTTGAATTGGCAAAGTCCTCATATATTGATCTGTATATTAAAGATAACCTTGGTTTCTGAATAAGATCTGTACCTTCTGTAAAACATGTAATATGGTTGTACAAATATTGTAATTACAAAATTTAATGAAAAGATCTGTACAATTTTCACATATAAAATCAAGTGTGACTAACAGATGCTTTGTAATATTTCCTATAAATTGCATTTGTATAATCATTCCAGTTTTAACAATATGGAAACATATATTGCTAAGTAATGAGTTTTGTTTTTGTTATTTTTTCCCTCAATGTCATGTTCAACATTGCCCAGAGTCTTCTTGACCAACACATTTACCTATCCTTTATGAACTACTACTGAAAGTTTGTTACATTTGTATCGCTGTATAATTAAGGTTTTTTAAAGAAAAATCTATAACATTCTTTGACTTTTAACTTCAATGTACTTAAAAAATTTAGCATTCCATGTCAAAATTTATTATTGATAAACTTGGTTTCAAACGTATTGTTCTCCCTCTAGATATAGGGATAATGTTTAAACTGTGTTTTTTTTTTTTTTTTTTCAGTTGCATTTGGTTTATGCCAATACATACATGTTTGGACATGCAAGCATATTTGAATGCATGTGTGAGAGTGTAGGAGGGGAGAGAATTTGTTCTGATATAATTCATAAAGATATTATAATTTTGGAGGCCCATAATACTGCACATGTCTATGAAGGCATCGGTTGTCCTTTTGATTGTCAATAGACGTAATCATTGTAGATGAAGGGTGAATTGGCTTACATAGAATATATTTCTCCATTTTTTACAAATTGCTTTCATTTGTCATTAATTTGTTTATGTAAGCAACCATAATTTAGCTATTCAAGTACTGGAACAACTATACATTTTCATATTCATTCAAGCATTATATCATTTTCACACATTTAACTTTGCATAATTTTACTCTTTCCCATTTGATCATTTCTCTTGTGCCCTTAATCTCACTAGTGAAATTTTATTTTGGAACAGAATTTTGGTTAAGTAATGAAATACCCATTCTTCAGACGAGGTTTCTGAAATGCAAAATAATATTCAACTGAACTTATTGGTATAGTTATCTAATACAATTTATTTGCACAATGTTTTGAGATAATTATTAGATAAACATGCACTGCCCTGGTAATTGTGACTTTCACGATTCTAAAGGAAATATTTCCATAGCTTCTGTACATAGTGATGGTTTACAACAAGATAAATCCTGTCTAATTTGTTGTAAATAATAAGAGGCTCCTCTTGCTTCAGGATGGAGTTCTCAAGCGTAAAATGCAGATCTGCATCAGTACATAACTGAATTATCTATTGACATTTTTTTAAATTCTTGATTTTTTTAAATCCATTTAATTAATAAAATGGTTAAAAAAAACTGACGTAGAGCGAAAAGGATATACCCGTGGACGAATTATGTATATAAGAAACAAAATGAAGATGTTTCATTTGCATGCTAGTGTGCATATGTTCGTCTCTGGAGGAGGGGGGAGACCTGATATTTCCTAGTACAAGTCAAGAAGTACTATACTAATTCCTTTTTTAACTAAAGACCATTTCAAAATAACATGTAATACTACATAAATCTTATTATATAGGAATTGACCTGTGAAACTATATCATGGTGTACACAAAAATGTATTGTTGTCCTTCATTGGTCAAAACGTCTTAAATGAATGGGAAAGGAATATTATGAGTATGCTCCCAAACTGGCAAATGTAAGACTACCATTGCATTGCTTCCCCACTGCTACTGCTCTAATCATGTTCACCATTTCCTACATTACTGCCATTATTTTCTAAGTTAACTGGCAAGAGTACAGTATTGAATTCAGAATTAGCTGCAACATAAGTTTTTGTTTTTTTTTAATCTACCACATGCACCTTGTTACTTTCAATAAATCAAATAAAAAATCTGACTTGAACTGAAATTCCGCAGATATACACTACTTTTTCATGGTTCTCATGTCATGTGCCAGAGACAAGAGTGAGAGTGCATGTAGTTGTGTATTCAAATACATGCCGGTTTTCATTTGTAAGCGTGTGTGTTTTCCCTCCTTTTAATTTCATTCTAATTTGTTCATACATGTGTGAATGTAGCTTTATAAACAACTTATTTTCTGTGAAGATTTTCTTCTTGGAATACTTACGGATTGTATTGCACCCAAATCATGTGTCACTTAGTTTCTAGTCGTAAGAATATGGAGGAATTTGAATTGGAAAATGTAATTCATATGAATAATGGGCTAATTTAGTAAAGGGTTATCTGGGATATCAAGACTGTAAATTCTGCAATATTAATTGAGGATTGCATCTTGACAAGCATTGTTTAAAATAACATAAAGGACACAAGATGGTCTGAAATTTTTTTTTGAACCAATATTTATGGATTGCTACAAAATTTTAGTTCTTTACTTTTCATGGGTAATTTTGTATTTTATTTCACATTGATATAATGCTTTTTAATTAGTCTTGATACCTCCAATCAATTTAAAAAAATTCTATATTCTTACTAGCTTTAGAAAAGAGAGACAAACTTAATGAGTTACCAATTGCACTTCTTTTGTGAGTGCAAAATATGAGAAAAATGTTGTGAATGTAGAATTTCAGGAAAAAAAAAAGAAGGGAAAAAAACCCTTTGTAATTTGACTGAAATTGGGGTTACGGAATATTACAATGATATCTACAATCCGTTTGGTTGTTCCTCCTCTTTGGTTTTCTTTTTTCTCTCTTTTTTTTTATTTTCTTTCAGAATATTTGATTAGATACTAAGAGAGAAAATGTGTAGGCATGAATGCACATGATGTATCAGTGTAAACATTCAAGCAAGCCCATCCTAGAGGTTGCCATCATTTTGTCTGAATTTGTCTTGTGCAACTGTTCCAGTTGTTGAGTA